GAATACAAACATTTCAAATATGAATCCATGATGTGTCAGGAAGGAAACAAATACAAGACTAAAACCCGAAAAATTGCACGTGACTAGCTATGAACTGTAGCAATTTCTTCCTTAATAACCACCTCAATGGCAGAGGTCATGTTGAACAGCAGCACAACGGCGCTGGTGAACACAGGTTAAATGTCCCTTCTACTGAACGAATACGGAGGAGCACTGTGCCCATTGTGATCACTGTCTGCTCAGCGCATCATAATTAGTGGGACACCCTAAAATTTCGCTATTTCAAATTAGCCGTGTATTTTGAAAAAATGCTGCGGTTATCCATAAACTCCCGATGCTGAGAAAGGTTTACCACTTTTTGAAATAAACTGGTCTCTAACTAATCCAAATGCCTTTCTGGCGACCACTTTTCGCAAATACTTGCCAATCCTGATATGGGAATATGCATAAGTTCATCGAAAATCGTGCCTATCATGATTCGTGTTGCCCAGTTTTGAAGACAACAAGAACTGAGCAGAAGTCATGGTTCAGGTGCCTACGGTACCGAGCATACTCTTCGGCTGTTACATAGCGCTCAGCTTTGCAGTGTATACTTCTCGCTATGAGAGCACATTGTTCTATCGAATTAGGTATAGTGGAGCAGCCAGACCACTCGAGCAGCTCATGGTTTTACTGACAATAAAACATACTGGTGATTGAGCTGGAAGGAGAACAGCGTTATGATGACTATGTTGCACAAAAATCAAGAAGCGGTGCCAGTGATGATGAAATGGCAGAATTCAGTTCCTGAAAAATTTCCGATATTGTTCGGAATCCTATGGCAATAAACGGACGGGTTCAAGCCATCCAGTTGCGCACAGCGCACCTCAAACCGCAACAGGTCCTAAACCGAGATGGGATTGCTTCAAAACCAAAGGCACCTTGTGTAGACCTCTATGATTTCTGCTTCGGTCGAAGAATCAGTCGTAAGGAACTTTTTTTTCGTCGCTCAGAAAGAATTTTGCAAAATCCGTCGCAGTGTTTGCCGTGATAAATGGGAGAACTGCAATCCTGTGATTCGTTCAGGACAAGGATCGCTTGTTGAAAACGGTTTTCTGCATGATGTAGGGGCACATGCCTGAACTACCGAATACAGGATCATTTTTTTCTGAACACCCCGGGAATACAAAAGTGGAGCGAAAAAGAAATGGAGGGAAGCAGCATATCCAGAGCCGTTGCAGATCTGAAGAGACTATGAAAATCGAGGTGAAAGAGTCGTACATGGAGTCCTACTTGTGTCACGTACTTGGCCGCGAGCGATGATTTCTTCAACAATAGTAGCTGCATGTAGTTGCAGGGATAGCACGACTAAAGGATAGCGTGAATGATTACCGTTGGCACAGTAGTGATTGGTGGCTCGACTACCC